GCAATGGCCCCTTTCGTCCGCAGCGACAGCAGTCTCAAGAAGCCTGCCAGATTAGGGTTTAGGGCATAGGGGTTTAGGGTTTAGGGTTTAGGGTATAAGGTTTTGGGGTGTGTAAGGTTTAGGGGTTGAAGGGTTTAGGGTTTATAAGGTATAGGGAATTAGGGTTTAGGGTTTAGGGTTTTAGGGCTTTGGGGTTTAGGGTGTTGGGGTTTAGGGTTTAGGGTTTCAGGGTTTTCGGCTTAGGGGTTTAAGGGTTGAGGGTTTGAGGGTTTGGGGTTTTAGGCGGTGCGGTAGGGGTTTACCTGGGACTCCAATTCGCTACAGTGTTAGGGGGTCTACCTACTAGTTAAGGGGTAATGGCTGCTAAACTGTAGGTAAAAAGGGTTACAGGAAAGGGTTGAGGGGTTGAGGGTTTGGGGTTTAGGACACCAGAGTATGAGCTGTCCACTTTCATATGCTCTTTTCCGCAGTGGCCAGCGATGGATGCCCTCTCTCTCTCTCTCTCTCTTTCTTTCTTTCTCGTTCTCCCTCCCTCTCTCTCTTTCTTTCTCTCTCGCTCGCTCTCCCTCTCCGTCTCTGACTCTCTCTCTCTCTCTCTCCTTCCCTCTCTTTCTCCCTCTCTCTCTCTCTCTCTCTGTCTCCTCTTTCTCTCTCTCTCTCTCTCCCTCTTTTTTGTTAGACTCCATTCAAGCGTAGAAAGACGGCAGCTGCTTTGGTGAGACTTTGCGAGTCGAGGCCTGGCGAAGCTCTGTTACCGACGGGGCGCGAAGCTCATGGCCAAGACCCGGAAAGGCGAGACGGCGCGAGGCTCAGCAATGCAAAACTGTGTTGTCAGCAGCGCAGTTTCAAGTTTCAAGGGCAAATGGGTGCATCTGGGGACTTTCGTGCAGAGTGTAGAGTCTGTCCAAGGATCTTATGCAAGCATCTTCTTGGCTATGCAGGTTGCACTTTAGGACAACTTAAATTTCTGCATGGTGAGCCAGCGAACTTTGCAGCTGCACTCCCAGCTGCATATTAATTTTTGTGGCACCCGGTGCATGGTGCAGGTTCGGTTCCACATGCCAAGCAGCTTTCTGTTTCGAATTGCTAGTGATTTCGCAACAACTGTCAGCATTTAGCAAACACAGTTTGCTGCGTCGAGCACTCTGATCTGAGCACATAAATCACCTGGAGGCAGAAAGCTGGTTGGCATGGGCCGGCCCGAACATGCTACTACTGACAGGACATTTTTCATTTGTCCACTGGCCAAGCCTCCGCCGCACTCAAAGGATTCGCAGTGCTGCGTTGCAAGAAGATTCGCTCCCTGCTATACTTCCCTGGCTTTCGTCACCCTCTTCTCAAGTCAGTTCTGTTTGTGATTTTTAAAGCCCCGCTTGCTGTCGGTGCGCTTCTTCACTGCCGCCGGACATCGAAGAATCGGGATGGTGAGGACTCACCATCATAAGCTATCGAATAGCAGCGGCTACCAAAGGCACAGCGCAACAGGCACTTTCCTAAGTAATGCGAGTTGAATTCGGGGTGAGGCCGTAGCATGTGCACGAACAAGCACTAGCCCCATCGGCTTTCAAAGGAATGCTTTTCGATGTTCCTGGCATGTCGAGAAGTGGAACATGTGGATGTGGCTAAGGCTTTCAACATCGTGACTAGGGCGAAGCGCTACGATATGATGGAGTGCTGCTCCGAGATCCACCGAACCTGCTGCATGTCCCCTCTGACTGTAGTACTTGTTCCGCATACGCCGTCGCAGATCCAAAATGTGATATACCAAGAGTCCGCAGAGATGTCCTGCATGAGGTTTTTGCACATCTACGGTGTCAAGATCAATTCTGCAGATGCAGAAGGGAGGACCTTCAGCAGACCAGCTTCGTTTTCTGCCCAGGTGGTTGCTGAAATTATGCATTGGTATCGCAGACCTCACTACCTTGCATGGTCAAGCGGCAAGCACGGTTGGAAGGACGGCCTTGCACGTGGCTGCCCAGTACAACGATGTCAGCAGCTCGGTGGCGTCTTTGCCGCCTGGGATAGGAGAGGAGATGCGCTTGAGGTGGATGGTATCTGCCGCCTTATCGAATGGGGTGCCGATGCCCGGCAGCCAAATGCTTCTGATATTGCCGATGAAGGCTGTGCCTATCCTCTCCAGGTCAACATCGCCGATAACAAGAGGCGCACGCCCATCCATTTAGCGGCCGCTGGTGGCAACTACCAGGCAAGGCCAATGACAAGGGCGACCGCGGTCGTTCGGTGCCACTCCAGTCGTGAAGCGCTAACGAAGGCTTGCATGCTGCTTCTGGAGATGGGTGCGGACATGAATGCCAAGGCTCGAGTGTGGTGTGCTGGAGTCGAGCATGATCCTAGAACGTCATGGCATGTCGTGGCCGCCTCTGCCAGCAGGACATCCGGGAGTACACTGTCCGAGGCCTCAGCTTGCTTGGCTCGTTCTCTAATTTGAGCACCCTGTCTACTACTGTCGTCTTTATAGTCTTTGTTTGATCTCTGTTTTGTTCTGATCACCACCGCCAACGTCGGAGTCACCGCTCTCACTTCGAGCACTGCTGCCGCCTTTGATCTCTGCTTTGCTCTGATCGCCATGGGCCCGGACCAGTGCCATCGTCAGAGTCACCACTGCCACTTCGAGAACTGCTGCTGATGCCACTTTTGATGGTGCTTCTGCGGTCGCCATGTGGGCCATCGCGTTATATTGCGTTGTCTGCCCTTTGCTCCAGTTTTCTTCTCTGAGGCCTTGGCGCATGCTGAAGCCAACAACCACTTCAACCTCATGGACCGCTTGGTTCGGCACCTGAGAACGTCTGTGAGCAGATCTTCACCAGCATCGCGCCTTCTCAACATCCTTTGAAGAAGTTGCTTGGGCCTCGGAGCTAAGCCAAGCAGTGAGGTCCAGCTTGGTGGAAGAGGACATGGCCTTCATCAAAGCCGAGGCATTGGCTTGACTGCGTGGAGCGCTTGGCAGATCTTGGCAGTGGTTTGTAGCGGGACAGCTCAAGGGACCAGCAGGGCCCTCTGCAAGGTCCAAGTCCCTGGCCAACGTGGGCATGGCGACGGCCGCCACGGACCTGGCAGTCTCGGCTGGACTACTGAAGAGTGCGGGCCCCACATGGAGACGGAGGGTTTTTTTGTTTGTTTGTTCCCGGGGACTCCCAGGCTCCTCGCTGGGCAGGATCGGAAAGGTGACTCGGCCAAAGCTTAGAGCTGTGACACGGAGACGAGCCGGCGGTGCTGCAAGATGCAGACCCAAAGGATTTGAGTTGAGGAATCCTTCGCAGCCACTTCTGCTTTGTGCAGGTGGCGGTGAAAGGAATGCCTGGACCTCTTCTGCCCCAGATCATCAAGTGAGGTGGGACGAGGGTTTCGGTCCTGGTTTGACAAGAACCGATGTATGGAATCATCCAACTTAGGGGGCATCATCCTGCAGTCTTGCCGCCAAGCCCACCACACAAGGGTGAGGCAGGGTACACAGAACCCAGGGTCCCAGGACCGAGGTCAATGTAAAGGTCGAGCGTGATGTGATGTGATGTGCCTTTGCCAAAACGGCAAGGGTCTTGTAGGGTCGGTTTGTCCTGCAGCTTGCAACCAATGGCTAACATCTATCTCATGCCACTCATTCAGCTCTTGCCAACTGACCCTCTTCATGTCTCACGTTGTAGCAACAACTCGCACCTCCAGCGGAAACAACATCTCCGTTGAGAGGTGATGTTGTAGGTCTGCCACTTATGCATGCTTTCTGGAACAGCTTGATGCGAAGCCGTAGACGGGCGATGTGCAAGAGGATGCTCCATTGGTGGACTTGGTGATTCCCAACATTGGCTTTCCAAGTTCACCATTGAGCAATCCACCCTGATATTATTAGTGTCCAGACGGCATGCTGGCTGCTTTAACAAGCGAATTCAACAACTCAATGCTTCGACTCGGTCGACCGTAGCTAGGTGGAGGTGTGCAGTGTTGATAGCTTGAAGGACTGCCTATGAGTCCAAATGTGCGTCGGGTTCGCGCAAGTCTTCAAACACTGTTCACCGCTCAACGAATTGAACTCGGTTCTTTGCATGAAGTTTCCCCACTGCGTTCGTCCTCGGCACAGGATGACAACAGCAACTTCTTTTTAAGAGCTCGTACCCAGTGGGGCAGCAAACTGACCTACTCACAAGGCCCCGGCCCTGCCATGCTTCCGCTGCACAAGTCTCCACAGAATTCAATCGTGTACTGATTCGGTCTCGAACATCTCTTTTTCCAGGGCCTGGGAGTTGGGTGACTGTATCTTTGTTGCAACCGATTATTCTCCGGCTGCACGGAGACTGCGCAAGTAGCGAAGCAGATGCGGGCAGAATCCGTGCAGCTCTGGCCACCTGTGCCTCTCAAAAAAGTGCCGCAAGTGGGGCTGGGCGGTGCTTGGGCCTGGGATTCAACCGCTCGCTTTTGAGTGATGGAGTCGCATCTGATTGCGACACCTGCGCCCGACGCTTTTCAGGAGATCGCGTCTGCGCTAAAGTCCAGCAGCTACCCGAAGCATGTCATCGAGATGTTGAGTTCGCGGCTTAGCCGGCGCTGCCACTGGTAAGGAGTTGACGCGAACTCGACGTAGCGCTTGCGACGTCAGCAAGCGTTCGCATGCGATGCATTTTCCGAAGATCCTGAATTCCCAGCAGACTTGATTGTTTATCCGGTGTATCAGTTTGAGCGTGTGGCGGGGATGAG